GTGTACAGACCTGATGAAGGGCTTGACCAGAGTGAGCAGAGCTTTGATGTACCAGGCAGGGTGGACAACCAGGAGTCCCTTCAGGTCCTTCTTCAGCCTATTTGATAACACACACACACACACACGTTGGACACCGTGATAACATCGACTCGGCCCACTGAGCGGGACGCAGCCTACCTGCGGTCGATGGAGGTGTAGCACTGGTGAAGCCACTTGATTGGTGGAAGTTTGTTCCTGGGAGCCATCGCACACAGGTAAACCAGCAGGTAGTTCTCCGAGACCATCAGGTCCAACGTCCCCACGATGTATCTGCAGAGACACAAAGACCAGTCCCACACCTGCGGTCCCACACCTGTGCTGGCTGTGTTTTTTGTTTTTGTTTTTTTCCTGCTCTCACCTGAAGAGGTTGTCCATCACGTAGTCATAGTTGTCTACTGTCTTCTCCGGCAGGTAACAGGAAGTGAACAGGATGATGGCGTTCATCCCGTCTCCGTAATAACCTAACAGTTGATGAGAGACAGAGACAGAGTCAGAGTCGGTCACTGATATATGTCTCCAGCCTGTAGCTGCTGCCTCCTGTCAGTAGGGGGCAGATGTATATTAGACCTCTGACCTCCGTGGGACAGGACCTGCAGGTATGGCTCCAGGACACTCATGTTGACGTGATACTCGTGTCCTGAGATGCTGAACTTCCTCCAGCGGCGCCCCCTGCTGTCTACCTGGTCTAGACCCATTAAACTCTCTGAACTCTCCACGGGACTTCTGACAGCACTCGAGGCCCCGCCTCTTCCCATCCGAGGGAGTTCGTCTGTCCATCACAAAGGGACAAAGACCAGAGGAATATAAGATCACTATGTCAGAGACGACCGAGACGAGACAACGAGACGAGACAACGAGACAAACAACGAGACGAGACAACGAGACAAGACAACAAGCTGCTGAAATAATACAAATTAAAGCCACTTATTGACCAAAAACACAACTATTTAAAGTGACAAACAGACCACAAGGAAGACAGAATGACTCCAGGATCAGAGAAGACCACAAAAAAATAAAAAAAAGGCAAAGAAAGACGAGGTCCAAAGGAAAAAGACATGAAGACAGAGGTCAACCACCAACATCAAGAACAAAGACTGTGTGGATCCTCACCGTCCCACTCCAGCTCGCCGGTCTCGGGCAGTGTTCCTGTCTCACTGCCCGACGGCGTCTCGAGGGCCTCGAGGTTGATGTCCAGAGAGGGCGTGTCCGACAGGGCGGCAGCAGAGAAACCGTCCGTGCTCGGGTCTCGAGAGTCTCTGCGGTTCAGGGTGAGACTGAGGGACGGAGCCACCAGGCGCTTCTTAGCACCGCCCACTGCTGCGTCTGACAGGGCTAGGGTGGTGGGCGGGGCTGGACATTGGGGGAGGGGCAAGAAAGGTAGAGAAGGTCAGGTTTAATAATTGAATCTTGTATAAAAGAAGTTTTATTTAAATAATTGACATTTTAAAATATTCCAAACTCTTTGATTCATATTTGAGTTCAAATGTTTGACCCGTACTTTAAATACGTCTACTCAAATAATTTTACTTCGTAGAATAGAATTTCTTGTCACAGCTAAACAACCGTGTTGTAACTAAAAGTAAATGAAATGTGCCGAGAGAAAAAGTAAGAAAAACAAGATGAAAAAGTCAGAAAAAAAAAAAAAATCAAACAATTAAAAGATATGAAAAAATCTTCTGTTATTCTAGATGCTTCTAAGGAAATCTGAACAATGACATCATAGCAGGTTGATGATGTCACAAACCAAAACATTAGTTCCTCACCTCTTAATTGTCTCTCTCCATCCCCAGGACTCCCACAATCCTCGGGGAGGGGCCTGCAGGAAAAACAAACAAATCTGAGCTGAGGTCCAACACGGGGTTGTCACGGCAACGCCGCGTCTAGATCGCAATCATTTCAATAATACAGCTTTAAAACAGGCAACAAAGTGGAGTCACAGAAGGTGAAAAGTCAGAGGTCAGAGGTCAGAGGGTGAGACCTGGGGAAGCCGTCGTCCTGCCACTCCTCCCGGAGCTCCAGGTCCTGTATGTTTGGAGAAGAAGGAAGTCCTGCAGGAGACGAACGAGGAGGAAGAGGAGAGGGTCTGTGGAGACAGTGACATCATCGTCATCATCGTCATCATCATCATCATCATCACTGACATCATCATGATTGGTTTCAACTTTCAACAACAGTTTAAAAACCTGAAAAAACGTTTCCCTCGTTGTGACATTTAAACACACACACACACACACACACACACACACACACACACACACACACACTGGTCCGACCAGCTGAACAAGGAGCTAAAGGGGCGGAGCTCTGTGTTTCCTTTTATCTGTCATCACCACACCTGTCAGTGTGTGTGGGTTACCATGGTAACAGGGGGCGGGGCCTTCTCCTTCTAGCATTCATGTCACAGTCAGACTCTAGAATCAAGTCCAGTTCTGAAGACGTCAGGTCTGTGATTGGGCCACACACAGGATGACCACTAGGTGTCACCTTCACTAACACCCCAGATCAATTGTTTATTTTTTTAGTCTAACGGCGTCCAGTCCTACAGAGACTGATGTCAGTGGACAGAGACACAGACCAAGACCAGCAGGTGCTGAGACCAGGAAAAGATTAGAATCTTTAGGGACAGAGACAATAAGAGGATTTTAAAAGAGCAGGAACTGAAATCCAGGTCTGAGTGTAAGGAGACCAACACTTTAGGGAGTGAGACTGAGAAACTGAGACCTTTGTCCTGGTAGATCCAGGTTCTGAATCCTGGTACAGTCTCCTGGAGTGGCTCTGAAGGCAGGTTTGGAATCGGACTGCGTCTGTCAGGAGTCCTCTCGGAATTTCCAGGATGAGGTTTTTTTAAAGTCGTGTGTTTCAGCTCCAGGTGTGTCTTCATGTCTCTCCACTTATTTATCTGCGTACATTAGTGTCCTCCTGGTCTTCCCAGGTCCGTCTCCACAGACATTCATGTCTCCTGGCGTCACCTTGGTGTCCCAGGTGAGTCTCCAGGTGAGTCTCCAGGGGACATCTCATGCTCCTGGCTGTCTTCTCAGTCTGTGTGTCCTCTGGTGTCCTCATGTATCTTCAGCAACAGACTGCACTGAAAACAAAAACCTCGGGCTGACAGCACATGCTGTGGTCCAGTTGCATTGTGGGAAATGAAGTCAACAGGAGGAAACTTCCTGTTTGAAATCACAGAGACGCAAAACCTGAAGTGTCCAGGTCCATCCTGTCCACTGTCAACAACAGTCCTGGGGGACGTCACTTCCTGTTCGTCAACGAACACTGAGAGGACAGTGAAGGCGTCACAGCAGAGACCACTTCACTGACCGACAAAACACAAACATCAAACTTCCTCTTTGTTCCGTTTTAACAGGAAACACATACACACACACACACAGCGAGAACGTACCTGCCAGTGCGGTCACTCATGATGTCACAGTGATGTCACAGCGTGTTCTGACCAGCAGGTACCAGGTGCTGCTGGACAAGTGACTGTCACTGTTTCCTCTACCTCTGTGAGGGACTGCCCTCTCTCTCTCTCTCTCTCTCTCCTTGCCTCTCTCGTCCGATCTCTGCTGACCCGGCTCGTCCACATTTCAGACTGACGCCGTTTGGTCGACGCCCACCTGCTGTATGCTACAGGTAAGACGTGCTGTATTTATATCAGCCAATCAACTGCTGCAGATATTTAAAGAAACAGGAAGTGAGTGATGACATCACTGATCCACTTTCCCTTGTACTTCCATAGATCTCAGGTCATCTTTCTACAGTTATTGATCAGTGATCAACCGTCACCGTACGACGGTATCACAGATTAGAAGTTAAGCTCCGATCAAACGTACGATCCTCGTTCAACGCCTGTTTCTGACGGACTGATCTTTTGATTATTGGTTGATTAACCCATCAGCAGAGAAAAAAAATGTTTGTTTTTTTCACTTTTATTTTGTAATTTCCTGTTGCTGCAACTGCTTCACTCAGTCTTACACAATAAAAGCATTTCCAAAGTGAGCAGGAAGTAGCTCTGCCCACATTTCATTCCTGACCGTCAGGTCAAAGTTCAGGTGTCAGCTTGGATCTGACGCTCAGGTTCTGTTATCAGTTTCTTTTGTCCGTTCTGAGATTGGCTGTTGCTACACGTGTGATTGTCAGCTCTGCTCTAAGTTCCGTCACCTGTTCTGATGTCGGTTCTACTGACAGTTCTGTTCTCAGGTCCGATGTCGGTTCCATACTTATTTGACCAAACAACCTGGTTTGAAAGGTCAGAGGTCAGGGTAATCTCTTCTGCTGTCGGCCATCTTGCTGACTTTGTCCACCAGGTCCTGCGGACTGATGTGTGGCAGAGCGCCCTCCAGGGGACAACCCTCCACCAGACTGTTCATGGGTGTAGGAGGAACCACAGACTCCGCCTCCTGAATCTCCTCTCCATCCAACTGCCTCAGGAAGTCTTTGACTAATGGGAGGAGCTTCTTACGAGACGCCAGCGAGTTTCCTGAGAAAGAAAAAAAAACAACAATTGCGTCACAGTAAGGATGATGTCACCGTGATGATGAGGTCACAGTGATGATGAGGTCACAGTGATGATGATGTCACAGTGATGATGAGGTCACAGTGATGATGAGGTCACAGTGATGATGAGGTCACAGTGATGATGAGGTCACAGTGATGATGAGGTCACAGTGATGATGAGGTCACAGTGATGATGAGGTCACAGTGATGATGAGGTCACAGTGATGATGAGGTCACAGTGATGATGAGGTCACAGTGATGATGAGGTCACAGTGATGATGAGGTCACCGTGATGGTGATAAGAAATCATTAAACATGATAAGGCCGTGACATCACTTTGAATGTGGCGTTAACAGAAACAGGTCATTCGCTAATTATACGCTAACACTCAACTACACACCTTGGTGATAGGCTGTTATGTGAGGATGGGGGCTGCTGATTGGAGAGAGGTTGAGGGCGGGGCTTTGGGCTTGTTCCAGGAAGTGACTGAGCTGTGGGGAAAAATAAAAAGGGTTAAGTGAGTATGTGAGTGTGTTAGTGTGTGTGTGTGTTTAGTGTTGTGTACTTGTACCTGCTCCCTGCAGGTGGAGCTGTGGCAGAACACAGCCAGCTCTCTGATTGGCTCTTTGCTCTCAGTAAAGGAGATTGTCATCAGCAACAGCAAATCAAATCCGTTTCTCTGACAGAAGGAGGAAAGCTCTGCCTCCAGCTCCGCCCTCTGTAAGAACTCCTACACCGCACACACACAGACACACACACAGACACACACGTGCATACACACACAGAGGTCAGTACACAGAAGTACAGCAGTACTGCAGTAACACCTCCTTCTTCCTCTCACCTCCAGTGTGACGTACAGAACAGAGACGGCCAGACGCAGACTTCCTGAGACAATTTTCATGTCCTTCATCAACATCTGTCCAGTGTCTAGACCTGAGGACAAAACTCAAGTCAATTATTTTTTTCAGGAATAGAACGAAAAACTCAGACGGCGCTAAATATGATTTTCTCTTTAACCAGAGTTTTATTTGATGTGTTTCAGGGTTTTCTGATGTGAAAACCTGCAGCAACAAAGGTTTTCTTACTTAAGTAAAGTCTCATCAATAGTTAGTGTTTTAGATTTTTTTTATATTGTAGAAAGTAAACCAACTCTTCTGAACAAAGGGGGCGCCACTGGGAAAGGCACCAGGACCACATGTGCCAGGAAAACACTGCACTACCATGTGTGTTTGGTGTGTGTTTGGTGTGTGTGTCATTACCTGAGACATCAAACTTGGCGTTCTGCAGTGCAGTGAAAAGAGCGCCTCTTGGAGGCAGAGCAGGGAAACGACTCTCCAACACTGCAGCAAACTGACTGTCTTTTGGAGTCACTTTACCAGCTGAGGGCGCCATGTTCACGCAGTCCAATACCACAGCAGCTACAAACACACACAGAAGTAGCATTACCATCTGTAGACCGTGTTGTTAGGAAAGGAGGTATGTGCTGGGAGGGGGAGTCCTTCCTCCCTCTCTCTCTCTCACCGTAGAGCAGCTGGGCGAGCTGCAGCGTCAGGATCTCTGGAGCTTCCTGCACGATTCTCTCAGTAATCAGTGTAGCACAAGATCCAACTGTCTCCACAGTTACGCAACAGGAAGTTGAAGGCTCTCTTTCCAGGTGGTGATGATCAATCACCTCAACCACTGCCCCCTCAAGGTCACTGTCGGAACTGCAATCGGAGACAGTCAACTCAGCTGCTGGCTCATTTCATATTTTGACAAACCATTTTCAAACTACAGAAATGTATTAACCTGACCTTTAACTCTTGTTTGTAAAATTTGATTCATTTTGAATTTTGAAATCTCCAAATAAAAGAAAATTGGGACTTTTTTTTTACTTTAGAATTTAACATCTATTTCCATACCTGGACAAGACATTGTGGTCCACCAGCGTCAGCCGCAGACGTGCTTCTTGATGCAGCGTCTTCAGGTCGAGCTGGTCTCTGAACAGCAGCAGGTCATGTGACACGCCACTCTGACGCAGCAGGAAGGTGTTGTCAGAGCGCAGCGCTAGCTCCTCCCTGTGGATGTTCAGCAGTGGGAGGACTAATGTGTCGCCTCCCAGGGTCTGACACGGCGAGAGGGAGTGATGACATCATCATGCAGGTCATCATCAAAGAGACAAAGATTGATAATGCAGTTAGCAACTTGAATAAAAACATGTTTTCATTTATCTTACATTTAAAAGGAAGATTATTATTGATTAGTAAAGATGTATAATTGGCTGAATGTCTGCAGCATCATGAAGAGGAGACTCTGACAGTGGTGAACACTGGCTGCTGAACAGCTCTGTTCATTTCCCAGTCTGAGGAATGTTTTAAAAACAAAAACCTATAGAGATAGACATTTTCTGGAAAGACTGTTTGAATTTTTGTGCGAAAACATTTTAAAATAAAAATGTCAAATACATGTCAAAAACTGTTAAAACATAACAATGCTAAAATAATACATTAAAACACTGCACTATGTAAAACAAATATGATGCAAAATAGTGTAATATAATTATAATTAGGGTTGGCTGATCATACGGTTTGATCTCACCTTGGACAGAAAGAAGGCGTAGACCAAAGCCGACACCATGGAGTCCACATCACAGGCTTCATTTCCCATGACCACATGGAGGATAGGAGGAGAGGGGTCAGCAAATGCCTACGAAAGGTCAGAGAAGGCATGTGACCATGTGTTTGAATGCTAGTCAAAAGTCTTACGATGAAAGTAAGTTCTCCTTAAATGTTGTGTATCTCAACGAGAAATAACCTGCCCCAGTTAACAGGCAAAAAAAAAAAAAAAACACTATTTCAATAACGGAAAATAAAAGTAATACAATAAAACTGCCAAAACAATTCAAACGCGCTTAGAGTTGGTAAAACATTCATCCAAAATACCTCAATTATAAATACTAAAACTCAAAGCCAAAATTATGCAGACCTAATTCCGACATGTATTGTTAAATTTAAAGCTTAAAAACTCACACAGTCATACTTTTAAACACAGAATTGTGTACTCGTCTGTAATTGTCCAACATTATTTTGTATTGCAGCTCACAACTTCCGGCTAACGACACTGATCGGAAGTCTTATTTTGAAAATCGAAATGTACGGAAGCCGTGAAGTTCTATGACAAACATTTCGTGTTTTATAGACTGTTTACTATTATCGCCACGCGCTGTGTGTGTGTGTGAGATATATATATATATATACATATATAGAGAGAGAGAGAGAGAGAGAGACCTGCAGTGCTCGTCGGCAGTTCGTCAGAAACTCCTCCATGTCACCAATGGCTGCTGGTCGCAGCTTTTAGCTGCAAATAGTTAGCGGTTAGCAGTCGATGTCTCCTGTAAAGGTTCCGTCAAACACACTGAGCAACGAACGTCTGTCTCATTCGTTACAGTTGACCGTGGCTGACCACGTGATCGCCGATGATAAGGCGGGTAAAAGGTCATGAAATGTTTAAGGAGAGCTCGGAATATTATGTATTGCTTCATCTATTGCCCAAAAGCTTCAGCTAAACGTAGAAACATTGTAAATAAATAGCAATTAAATTTGTGGATTGAAGTTGAGAACAAAGTTACAAGAATGTATATGTTTAAATGAATTAAAACAAACACAATGTTAGTTGAAAATCACCCAAACTATAGCTAAAGGTTAATCAGTCAAAATAAATCTAAAAAAAAAACAAAACAAGCTGAGCTAGATGATGTTTGGAAAACTTCCCAGAAGCAAACAAACAAATAAAGCAAATAAAAGTCTGCCCCGATCACAATCCATTAAAAATGTTTTTCATACGTAGTCGTCGTGGTCAAACTTAAAACATCCATTTTATCAAGCCTTAAAACACGACCCTTGTATCAGCCAGTGAAAGCAGCATCGTGCTATGGACAAACTTAAAAATAAAGAGACTGAAAATGACCTTGATGTAAAGACAGTTTATTTATATAATGATTTATAACAGTTAAAAATATATTTTGTTCCGCGATGACGTTCAGTCGTATTTTAAAGCTTTTTGGGTTTTGTTGGTGTAATCTTTCAGACTGTAACACGGATAAGACGCCTTCTGGTTTAAGCTCCAGCAGCTCTATTGGTGTGGTAAAATTGTGGTCAAAAATGTGGTCAATCACTGGTATTTTAACAGAACATTGTTTTGCTGGTTAGAGATGATCGCTTGCAGAAGCACAGTACCGATCATGTCACCAATCTGGAACGCCTTAAAACTGGACTTTGTTCTGGATTCATCTGTCAGCTGTTCCCATTATAACACTGGTGTTAATTAAAGCCACATGGGAACATTCAAAAAAAGGTAGAAGCTGTGGGTGGGGGGTGGGGGGGTTGTTACCAGGAGGAGCCGACCTCTGTAGAAACACTGGTTCATATCTTCTCCACGTAGTTTCCAGGAAACATTCCTTCTCTGCCACGAAGGCGACCGAACCACCAACCTGAGACATCTGAGGACACACACAGACAACTTCAAATAAATCAAAATAAAACATAAAAGATTATTAAACCTGAGTGAGGAATGTCTAGCCCTTTAAATAACCTGTTACATATCCTACGATCAACAGTTAAAAGGACAAAGTGAGAGCCCAAAGGTAACTGAGATGAAGATGAATCTGAAACGGCTAAAAACCGAGGTGAGTTTATAACAAATAATAAAGAGTCAACTTTAAACAGAATAAAAGTAAAAACGAGAAAATGATTCATGTTAGATGAGAATTATTAGAAACAGAAAAACTGCCCAAAGATAAGACGTCAAGCGACACAACCAAAAGAATAAAATAAAATAGTCACAAATCAAATATCTGTGACTATGAAGGTCTAATTAGAGCTCAATTAGCCCAAGAATTATTATGAACTGCTAACATTAACTAAAAGATGATCAAATGACAAAAATAGGTCAAACACGTGATAGACCTCCAGCAGGTGAGGATTACGGCTAAAATATTCATAGGAGTTTAGCAACAGTAACAGTGGCAGCAGCAGCAGAAGTTATTCAAAGGAAATGATTGGTAACAAAATGATTATTGATGGTACAATAATAAAAGTACTACAGCAGTAGTACTGGGACTGGTACCCTCAGAAATGATCTCAATGACATCATCGGCGTTGAAGCTGAGCTCGTCAGTGTCCTGGGCATCGTAAGCGTAGAGCGCTCTGCACTGTGGAGACCGTGGCTTCGGCTTTGGCGCCGGTTTGGGTCGACCTGCTCCTGGGAGGGGCGTCACTTCCTTCGACCGTCGCCGCTGCAGCCTGTAGGTTGACGCGGGTATTACAACAGACTCCCTTTTTCTACCAGGATACTGTGATTTCCTGGTTTCTAGTGTAATGAGTATAAACAATGGGAAATCTGGTACCCTGTACTTAACCATTCATGAACTGAGTCCCATTAGTGACCCTCAATAACCCAGTGACCCCAGGTGGTTCATGAATGGTTAAGTACAGGGTACCCCCAGGTGTGACCCCAGGTCACTCCCTTCATGCTCACCCTGCAGCGCCTTGTTCAGGGACTCCCATGAATCCCATGTCAAAGTTGCTTGGAGCCTGGTTTTCCTGACGCCTCTGGCTCTGGTGGCGAGGCAGAGTGGGCTGCTCCATGCTGGACTGCTGTCTCAGCAAAGACACCCTGGAGGAGGGGGGGCCGCCTCGGGGAGGTCCTCCTCTGGAGCGAAGACCTGAACAACAGGATAACGTAAGCTTGAGCTAAAGTTGACCATGTACTCGTCATCATCGTCGTCATCACCTGAGCTGTAGTGGCTGCTGGGCGGAGCCTGGTTGCTCATGTAGCGGCTCTTCCGTTTGTCCTTCCGCGTTGGCCCTGCAGATCAGACAGGAAGTGAAAATGTGGAGAAAAGACCACTTAGAGCTATAAAGATGAGCGACTCAGGTCAGAGCTCACGTGAGTTCCTGGGTAGACCCTGTCCGATGGAGACTTGTAGCACCTTCCCACTGGGTTTCAGGATCGCTTCGTCCCCTTGACCTATCTGGAACTGGATCTGTCTGGATCCTCCTGAGGTGAACGGACCCCAGCCACCTTTTTTCACCTTAAATTCCAGGCTGGAGAAACAAATAAACATTTTTTTTATCTTGGAGATACAATTTAAACAAATTTCTGTATTTGTGGGGAAAACAAATCCCACTGACAGGTTGTTGAACTTGAGCGGCAGCTTCTTCTCAGTTTTCTCGTGATAACGTTTGTCTAGCAGACTGAGGAACTCGGTTTTAAAGATGCTCTGGAGAACGCTGTCGTACTCCTCCTCATGGACGATGAAGAAGTCGTCCTGCAGAGTGCTGACAAACAAAGACAAAAAGGTTCTTTGCAGCTTGGATACTCTTTTTCTTTCTTCTTGGTGTTTACACTGGTTTACCTCAGGGAAACAGACTGTATCTTGTGGACCTCGATCTTTCTCTTTAGAACTTCTCGAATCTGGCCTTTATCTGGACCCTGTTTTACCTTCTCTCGGCCAATCAGGTACAGGAACTTAGGGGTCAGGATGAGATCTCGTTTCACGGTCTGTGAAAGAAAAGAAAGGATATTTTGAAAGAATGATTCCAGTAAAACTTCTATTTGTTATTTTACTGCTGTTTTTACCCTGAATCTTCGGTCATATTTCACCACCACGTCGGCAAAGTCAATCCTCTCCCTGCGGCCGACGAACTGTCTGATCTCTGGATGGTTTTCTGTCCCGATGTAGTCCCCGACAAAGTTACGGTTCAAGCTGTTTCTGCGACGTTCCTTCTTGTTGAGCAGGATGTCTGATGCTGAAAAAACACGATTTGTTTTGTAAAGAGATCCACTGAAAAAGGACACAAAGATGTGGATTCTGGTTCCGTCGTAGCTGTGTCTTACCTTCCTCCCTCATCTTCACATACTTGCGGACAGCGATGTGTTTCCTCCACGCCTTCTGGATGACTCGAGCATAGCCGTTGTACTTCCTCTCCCTCATCTCCTCCAATAAAAAGAGCTGCAGAGAAAAATGGGCTTAATCAAGTGAACCTTGATTTCTGATTGGTCAACATCTTTAATGGGTTTTCCAAGTTCCCAACCTGCTTCACCAAATTTCCAATGAGGATCCCTGAGGGTTCCACAACTTACACACAAGTGATCAATCAATCCCTCCAGTTTTCCTTCCCCTCAGGAAGAAACAGGAATTCCATCTTTTTAGACAGGAACCTATTCCTACCAACTATAGGACCACCACTGATCAGCCCATACTGCAGCCAACCTCCTTGACGCCACCTGCTGGCTGTGAACCTACAGGGCATCTCTGCTGCACCACCTGCTGGCTGTGAACCTACAGGGCGTCTCTGGTTAGAGAGCTGCAAATGTTTTGGTCTTTCAACTAATGCTGTTTCTCTTTGGGGGACTCTACCTGGATAATGGACCTCAGATTCTACCATGACCCAGATGTAGAAAAACATTTCAGACAGAATTTCATACCGACTCTGGAGCTTTGATAAAAACTTTGCTTTTCCCCAGCTGGTACTGGTCCTGATCCATGTTGACAGAGTTGAGCAGATGAAGGACCCCCTGACGCTCCTCCCCCCTCCAGTGAGGCCAAGTCTCCCTGGTCAGGATTGCGTACCTGCAGAACACGAAAATCTGGTGAACATCAGTGGAAGTGAATTCACTGGTGTTCGACTGTGTTTGACCCTGAATGACCTCTGTAGAAACTTGACAAAGACACGTCTGTAGGCGTATCCCGCTCGGCGCACACGGATGTTCTCTCGCAGGCCCAGGTACTCCACCTGATGTCGGACGCGGTTTTCCTCCCAGTCTCGTGGCTTTTTGGTCTCATTGGGTTTAATACAACGGATGTAGTGGGGGGTGCACTTCATCAGTGTCTGGACCAGGGTGTT